TGCCGGGCGTCCCACCACTGTGACGCTGTATCAGGGCTTGCACTCCGACTCAGCAGGGGGCTGTGGCCGGCGCACGGGCAGAGTCCGGGCCAGCCCCACTTGCCAAGTTTGTAGCCTCCTGGAAACTTTTATTATTTTCGGCTTCAGAATATACCCACGGTACTGGGTTAATTGCCAAACTACTCAAACAATACCCTCAATACTTAACACACATTTCTGGCTACGCCGGTGACTTGCCTCATTCTTCTCAGTGACAATGACTGATGTGTGTCATTTGTTTTACGTTGGTGCGTTTCACTTTTTTTAATTGAAGGGAGAAACTGAAGAGATCATAAAGTTTACAGATTCACGGAATCATTCTAAATGAAAGAAAGTGAAAAGTGCAGTGCAATTTTTTAAACTGTTTCAGTTCTATCTTGCGGAGCCCCCCATCAACCCTTCTCTCGGGCAGTGCCGAAAGGGCACACCTAGCCACGGCTACTTGGACCGTTGAGTAAATTTTGTGTTGGTTACTGTGTGCACTTGTGCTTTTGTATATTCAAATATGGTGGCCTAATCGGACACTTGCATTTCAGAAGTCATATTTCTTTGATTATAGAAAATGTAAATTTTGGCTCACATTTCTGAAAAGTCACATTTGTATGATCTTCGTAAATAGCAAGTTTGGCTTGCATTTCTGAAAAGTTGCATTTCATTGCATTCATAATTAACTTTAGTCATTTACTGACTTAAAGTTAATTTACTAATCAAGCTGAGAACCCCCCCCCCCCAAAAAAAAAAAAAAAAAAAAAAAAAAAAAAAAAAAAAAAAAAAAAAAAAAAAAGGGTTCCCCACATGTCCCCCAAGATTGTTGGGTGGATTTGTGGACTAAGTCTGTAGTGGGTGCATCTGTACCATAAAGAATTACCAATTAAACCCTTTATGGTAGTCCTATGATCGTTGCCAACTTATGTTAGACCTGATAACCCTCTGTAATAAGGTTAATTATATGCCTTCTTGTTAGGTGCTGTTTCTCTAATTAATATCTTGTATGAGAGGGTGTTGGTAGGCTACATGGTTGCTGGTAGGGCACACACGTATATAGAAAACAGAATGTGGGGTGTAGGCTACCTTGGACACATTGTTAATGCCCTAATATAAAGTGCAAAATTAAATAGGAACTTAAAAGAGATTTATATTCAAAACAGTTTCTTCTCCCTTAAAGAATACAATCCTAGTCGTAAAAGAGAACATAGTGGTATACAGTAACACATTGAACTTATATCTATATAATTTGCCAATTACATATTTATCAGGCAGGTACTGGGGTAACTCTCTTTGTCTTGTTCAGTGAGGAAGTTCCCTTGGCTGGCTACCTGAATTATGTGGTTGATGGTCTTGTACATTTGCCTCATCATTCTGAGAATTCTAAGAAGACGTCCTCAGGTTCTTCTGGTCTGGACGTAGTTACGAGTTGATCTACAGCCTTAGGAATGTAAGACAGTGGTGGGAGAACTCGTCATCCCTGCGTGTATCAAGCAAGTTTGTGGGGATCAGTAGAAAGCAGAGTTGATGCGCTTAAGTCTATGTATTCAGAAGAATCTACGTGGCACTACAAGGGGTTGTTTACATTATGCGAGTATATGACATTGCCGTCAGGTGGCTTACATAATAGAAAATATACTCTTGTATGGGTAACTCAACAAAATATAATTTTACCTTAGTCTAAGTAATATAAGGTACATCATATACATATCTGTATACTTATACTAATAAATATCTTTAATTACTCTTAACACCCCTCTTGATTAAAGTTGGGTATATTATCTGAGAATCTATCCCCTGGTGTAATTAAAAGCTTGCAATTTCTGGTTTACAGGCTTTGTAAAGTTATCAGCTGGATTCTGTTGTGTAGGAACATAAAATAAGTTTATATTACCCTTCTCTACTATCAATGTATTTTGATCTTTGATGATTATTATTATTTTTTTTTTTTTTTTTTTTTTTTTTTTTTTTTTTTGTATAAAGTTTAGAGATTTCTTTGCCCATTGCTTTCTTCCACTGAGGTCCCTATGGAGAAGAAAAGATACACACACACAGCTTTTTTCATTGCTTGCTTGGTGTGTATTATATTTATATATAACATGTAAATTATATTAACCCACTAATGCGGGTATCTTTTGAAGCTGAAAATAATACTTCTGGGCGGCTACAAAATTGGTCGCGGGCTGGCCCGGAATCTGCCCGTGTGATGGCTGCGGCCCATAGCTGAATCGGAGCGCAAGCTCCAATCCAATGTCACACTGGCAGGATGCCCGGCAATATTTATTATTCTGGGTGCCTCATATATGGGACACCCGTCGTCAATGAGTTAACAAGTTATTTGAATCTTGAGTCATTAAGAGGTCCTATATTGAGCTTGTCTAAGAGAAGGGTCCTCGCTATACCTGTCTGAACCCTCTGCCTTACTCAAAACACTAACTTGAGGAAATGCCCAAATGACCCTCAATACCTGTCTGAA